CAGTAAATGAGTTCAGCATGTGTTACAATGCTCACGTGTATGTGTGGGTCATACACAGTCAATAACATCACATGTACACAGAACAAACCACTGATGTCAAATAATTACCCTAGTGAAGCCTTTTAATATCACTTTAAGCTGAATACTAGTGTCTTGAAGAATATCTAGTTTATTATTATGAGCTGTCATCATGACAGATATATAATATAATATAATATAATATAATATAATATAATATAATATAATATAATATAATATAATATAATATTCATTCATTCATTCATTCATTTTCTTTTCGGCTTAGTCCCTTTATTAATCAGGGGTCACCACAGTGGAATGAACCGCCAACTATTCCAGAATATGTTTTACACAGCAGATGCACTTCCAGCTGCAACGCAGTGCTGGGAAACCCCCCATACACTCTCATTCACACACACACATACACACACACACACACACTCATACACTACGGCCAGTGTAGTTGATCAGTTCCCCTATAGCGCATGTGTTTGGACTGTGGGGGAAACCGGGGCACCCGGAGGAAACCCACACCAACACGGGGAGAACATGCAAACTCCACACAGAAACACCAACTGACCCAGCCGAGACTCAAACCAGCGACCTTCTTGCTGTGAGGCGATTGTGCTACCCACTGCGCCAGCGTGCCGCCTATAATAACAGTAATATAGTAAAGTAATACAATATAATATATTTAAATTGGAAATATTATGAAAAAATTCCATCACATGAAATATAAAAAAATATATATATATATATATGGACAAGAGGGCTGATATTTACATGAGTTATAGTTGCTGGTCCAGGATCAGCTGTTATACTGCATGACGTGTGTGTGTGTATGAGTGTGTGTTTCTCCCCAGGGAGTTTTACGTAAGGGTTTCTCCAGCTGCTGATCTCAGAACTGCACGTGATATTTCACATCAAGATGCTCATGACTATTCAAACGCTCATGAATATGCAGATGCTCATGAATATGCAGATGCTCATGAATATGCGTAACACACACACAATACTGTATTAGGTGCAGTGTTTTGCGTCTGAATGCTCCCTCCGCTTCTGCTGTACTCTTGTTGATTTTCCGCTGCATGCTCTGGTTTTTTCCTGCACTGTAATGCATTCTGGGTAAAAATAGATGTGCTCGTTCGTCAGAGCTGAAGGATGACGACGCTCTCGCTGTGTGCTCGTGTGTTTGTGCTCATGATTTGACTGATGTTAGAAACCAAATGTTTGTGTTTGTAGATATTACTAATATCAGCTGATGAGGAGGAAGAATCACACACACGCACACACGCACACACACACACACACACACACACACACACACACACACACACACACACACACACACACACACATCACTCACTTTACTTTAATGAACATTTCATTCATTACTAACTGCTAGTTTTTGTCTCGGGTGGGTGTGTGTGTGTGTGTGTGTGTTTCTGTGTGTGTGTGTCTCTCGGTGTGTGTCTCGGTGTGTATGTGCACCTGTGTTTGTGTGTGTGCAAATCTGTTTTGTCTGTGTGTGTGTGTGTGTGTGTGTGTGTGTGTGTGTGAGTATGTGTGTGTGTGTGTGTGTGTATCTGTGTGTGGGTG